AAATGAGTTTTTTATAATTGCAAAAGGGGAGTAAACTGGAATATATTGAATGCAATGTAAAAATATGACCTGTCTGTGCAACTGCCTTTCCGAATGCCTTTGAGTTGTTTCTGTCTCCCTGCACCTCGATGCTGTAGCTGGGCAGCTTTGACAGTCTCTCTGTGCGTAGGCAAGAGGTTAGCAGAGAAGGGGAAATTAAAACAATGTTGTACATTATATAGTTACCAGCCATTGAAAAACCTATTTTGTATGCAAGACAGCAGTGTAGAGATATATGGAAAGCCTTGGGCTAAGTACAGAAGATAATTACATTTGGAATTTTACTGAGTTAAGTCATTTATAGCTTCAAATAGTTGGAGAGAAAAATCAGCAAAAACACACTTAAACTTCTTGTTGTTACTTTTCAAGATAAGCATTTAAAAAAATTCCTTTTATCTTCTTATCTTACAAATTACCCCTTTTTCTTTCATAGATATTTCCTAAATTTTATTTTCAGGAACACGCTGGTCATGACACTCTTTCACTATTAGCTAAAGCAGTATAAGCTATTTTAATGTAAGTTTTATAAAAACCAAACTACCAGTCATAAAATGTCAGAGTCTTGCAGAAAATGTTATGAGAAGAGGTCTGTTATTTTAACAAGTTTCTTGAGAATTAGAAGAACAAATCTGCAGTCTTCCTGGTAAACTGAGATACGAGATAATCTTCCGCCAAGATGCAGTAATATTTGTGCTGAAGGTAGATGGAGATTCTTCAGTTACAGTCAGCTTGAAAAGCCAGAATCCTTCCTTCCCTCCTGCAGTTAGTGGGCATGCCTGTGCCTGGAACTACAGGAGGATGCCCTAGTCATGAACAGCACAGAGATGATGCCAGATTACCACCTGTTTGTAGGTCCTTACAATCTTTTTGAGAGGTTTATCAGTGCTGAGTTATTCTGATTGTCACGAGTGACTGATATTGACAGATTCACACCCATTTAGTGCTGAGGAATACATCCTAGCTTAGAGTCACTGCATGAAGTCCCCAAGACAAGAATATCATTTCAAAGTGGTATGAGGGCTAAGCCAAAAATTTTTTTGTTTGTTTTTGTTGTTTTTTTTAACAGTCTTACTAGTGCAGTAGATAGGATGGAGGCTTAATGTAACCTGGGATGCTGATAACAGTGAGACTGTCTGTGTGTTAGCCAGGAAGGATGGGTGAAGGAGGTTTGTTCTGCTTCTGAAATGCCCCTGGAACTCCCCACTTCTCCCTCTCTTCATCCTGCATGTCAGTCCTTGGATAGTCTGCAGAAGTATGAACATGGGAGGAGACAAAATTTATCTGCCAGTGCCTAGTTTATCTGGCTGGGACTTGTGCTTCACAGAACTGTGATACAATGAAGATCTAGCTCCATAGTGGAGTTTTCAGTGACCTGGTCTGCAGCACCCGGTGTGATACAGCAGGGGCAGCTCTACCAGGACAATCAGCCCATCACTCCTGCAACAGAGTGGCACAAATCAGCGCTGTGGACAGCCACTTGTGTTCTGTGAGCCAGGTAGAAGAGGGACACCGCAGCTCCTAGGAGGAGCAAATCCATTGCATTAGAGGGATACGCTTCAGGTTTTGAGTGTGATGGACCCAAAACCAAGCTGCTTTTTTTTTTTTTTTTTCCTCAATGTAATTATTTTACTCAGAGAAGCTTCATCATTGTCACAGAGATAAGTTCCGTGACTTCTAAAGAAATAATTTTTAAATGAACGTTTTGAAAAAATCAAAAGTCAGATGTTAGTTGATTGCAAATGGACTTTTGCAGAAGTATCATGAAGCTTTTCCATCACAAACATGTTTTAAATATCACAGACAAGGTAGAGATCTCCTCATATTTCACTTAGTTTAAACAATCTTGACGTGATCATTTGTTGCTATTATAAATAATGAGAACTGGGCTTCTGGGTAAAACACAAACATAGGAACATATCCCTATCCTTAGCAAGATGTTAACTGGAATAGGACATTTATTTTGTAGCACCACCTTTGAATGGAAAAACATTTCAAGACAGCAGCAAGGCTCTGACACACTTGAAAAAAGTATCTCCCAGTAGGAGAACATAGAGACAGCTGGCCATTTTCAGTGGAGTGAAAGCTCTACTTGGGCTTATTTTTTGAAGCATCCATTGACACTCTTAAAAAATGGATCCTGAACTTTTATTGTACACAGCCTTACTAGGCACCTAACAGGAGGGAAGAGGCTACATCTTCGTTGTCTCCTGCATTGTTCATGGTTGGCTTTCTTTTCCTTTGTCCATAGTGTTTTTCCAAAGTGCTGTTGAAGTGATCTTCTCTTCCCATTGCTCTGGCCATGTTACTCCTGTTGAATGCCCTCACTGGGTTTCCATTTTCACATTCTTGCTTCTTGCCATTGTTTTCTGTCTGCTTTTCCTCCTGGGCAGTGTCTGCACTCTTCTGTGCCTTCTGTCTTGCTCCTTGGTCCACAGACTCCTGTACATCCCCTCTTCCTGAGCCCCTTCTGTGCCTTCCCTCTCCTGCTTATCACATGTGCAGTTTCAGGATTTAACCTCTCCAGACCAAAGCATATGTCGTGATACCCAAGCTTTCAGAACACTGTATGCAAGCTCTGGAAGAGTTTTCCATGGAGCCACTATTAGGAACCTAGACTGTGGTGGAGCCCCAGAGAACTGGGGGAACCTCAGAAGGTCAGTCTTGCCATGAGGAACTGGGTGGCCATCTGAAAACTGCTGCCATTTAGAGCTTTCAGAAAGAACATCAGAGAAAGGAGCGAGGCTTCAGATGGGACTGTATTGTTAGGGTCTTTTCCTACCCAGCATTGTGCAGAGCAGAACTCTCAGGCTACAGTAAACTCCACGGAAAACCAAGAATTTGCTGCTTCTAATCTGCTCCTCGATGTTGGACCTTCAAATCATAGAATCATAGAATTGTTTGGGTTGGAAGAGACCTTTAAGATTATCTAGTTCCAACCCCCCTGTTGTAGGCAGGGGCATCTCCCAATAGACCAGGTTGCTCAGAGCCCCATCCAGCCTGGCCTGCTAAGGTCCTTGCCCCCAGGTACTGTGTTTTACCAAGCTGCCTCTGGACCTGTGTACATTTCAGGCTGCTCTAAGTCCTTGCCACAGGAGGCTTTTATAGATCTGAAGCCTTTGTTCTTCTAAAAAGCCCACCTTGTGGTTTCTCCTATGCCATTAATCAGTATTGTCATTCAGGGGAGGGTTCTGCAGCCAGAGGCAGGGATCCCTTTCCAGCAGAGCACAGGAGAACTGTGGGTGCCAGCAGAGCCCGTGGCTGAGGACATAGCTCCTCTGCTCCTCCTGTCCTGCCCCATGCCACAGCCAGGGGAAGGGTTTACCAGTCCTACTTCAACTGCACCTTGAGTGTATACATTCAAATGCAGTTCTGTAGGCTGAGAACCAGCAGGAAAGCAAGCAGTTGCCAACAGAAGCTTAGAAGCACTGGAACAGAGCTGCAATAATCAGTTTATTTCTGTTGTATAACAGCCCTTGCCCAGTAACACTGTCAGTAGATGAGGACCATTTCCCTGCAGCTCCACTAAGAATCCCCATTTGTGGACAATCTGCACTCCAGTCAGTGCCACCAGTGAGAATGTGCTCCCACCACTGCCCAGCGAGCCCTCCTGGCTTCTTCTGAGGAACCTTGCTGAAGGAGGGGCTGCTGGTGACATTCTGGTTTTTTATCGGTACTGCTTCCTGACATAGGGGAAAAACAGTTTAAAGAAATTCTTTGGATTTTTTTACTTCTCTTCAGTGCTTTGAAACTGAGAGACCTCTATTTTTCATAATTTAAACTCCTGCCTAACTGGGTGAGTGTTTGAATTCCTAGACTATGACAAAACACCAGTGTGCGTCTGCCTGAAATGTCGAGAGGATCTTTAATAATGTTCACCCACCAGAAACAGCACTAACAGCGTGCTAAGATGATGACTGAGAACAATAAAAGCAAGGACCCCAGCTGCTCCAAGCACCGCTCCGTTTTGCTGAGGGGCTTGGAGGAAGCAGGGCGTGCTCCATGCTGCCCACCGGCTTTGCTGGTGACTTTCCTGGTGGCTTTCCCTGTTGTCACTGCTCTGCTGCAAGCAGGAAATTTTCAGGTGCCTCTGCGCTTTATTTGTTTTGGCTAAAGCTTTGGTTCCTGCAGTAGCCTGCAGACCAAAATTTAATGCACAGATGACCCTGCCAAGCAGCCCCAGCGCCCGGGAACTGCTAAGAATGAGAGATTGCACAACAGAGCTGCGCCAAAACTAAAATATTTATTGTTTTTTATTTGTTTTGTGGAAAGCACGGCAGATGAGGGGTGAGACCTCTACTTTCTCTGAAGAGGTCCTCGGAGGACTCTGAAAGGGGGACGTTCCCACTGCATTGCTAAGAGCCCGCCACTGCTCTTCTGTGGTGTCCAGAACAGATCTGGAGGCAGATTGCAGATCTAGTATCACCTTTAGCTTTTCTTTCTTGCCATGGAGGTTTTTGTCCAAGAAAAGAAAAGCAGCTTGCAAAGGCCAGTGATTTGGCTTTTGCATTTCCAGAGCACACAATGGTGACACCATTTTTTCCTTTATTTAAATCCTGCCTTGGAAAGTTGTGTGCCAAGTTTTATCCCATTGTGACACCTTTCTGGCACAGGCAGAACCCCCTTGCCCTGCAAAGAGCAAGACAACCTTGACTGGAAGGTTATGAATGGGGATTTATGACCAAGTCTCTTTTTATATACACTTAGCCCAGCTTTACTGCTACAAACAGATGACTGTGATAAGGTGGGCAGGTTGTTCAACATTTCACTGGAATGCGAGCACAGTTCTCCTCTTGGCACCAGGATCCTGATTATCTAAAGCAAAACTACAGAAATTGTCATGTCTAAGAACCTGATCCAAGTCCTACTGGAAACAGGAACCTTTATGTTGAGCACATAGGTTAATAACACGTCTTTTTCATTAGTATTGTCTTCTAACATAGTCCCACTTCTTAATTTTTTTTTCTCTTTTTCCCCTCTCTTTTTTTAAGAGCAGCCAGAAAACATCCTATTTTCCTTTAGGAAAAAAAAAAAAAAGTGTATATTGTTTTCCCAAACCAGTGAGATTCAGTGCCTGACCAGTGCATTGGTAATGTACTTGGAAGCCGTTCTGGCCATAGCAGTACACTGTGATCTTGAGATCTCAATGGGAAAGTGCAGGGGAAGTGAGGGTCAGCCTGTGGGCATCCCCTTAACATCTAGCACAGGAGCCTGGCCACACATCTGGGCTATGACACGATGGATGTGGGTAGCATTTCCGCCCAGCTGCCTTTTGGCATGCACCTTAGGGATGCCAGCAGTGGTAATTCCAACTGCTGCTCTTGTCCCAGCTGGCTTCCCCTGCCAGCTCCTGGGGGCTTTACCTGCTCTTGAGGGGTCACAGTGATGTGGGAGTCACAGCCCATCCACGTACTGCTTGTCCCATGGTGCAAAAGGAGGACAAAGCATGCAGGGTCACTGCACAGCGTGCCTTCTGCTGTGCTTCCCGGGTTAATAAACATGATTCACTGGTGTCTTTTAGCTGTCAGGGCTAGAGTGAACCTCTCGGTGCCAGCAGGTCTAGCTTTTCTTGCTGAAGGGCTAATGCATTTTGCTTTGAGAAATACTGACACCCAGCACCAAGCGTTAGCTTTGCCTCATGAACAGACCGTATACAATTTCCAAACTGCTCAGCAATAAAACTCTCCTGTCTTGTGCGTTGGTGCCAACTGTTTAATTAGGAATAAGCAGAGGTTGGATTTTATTCCTACAAATAATAGAGCGTTTTTTTCTCCCCCTTCAGCTTGCAAAAGATAAAGAGCGCCTGCAAGCCATGATGACACACCTGCATGTGAAGTCAACTGAACCAAAAGCCACCCCTCAGCCTGTAAGTACTGAACTGTGCAGAAAGCAAAACCAAACCTCACACCAAACCTCTTTTTCCTGTTTCCCACCTGGGTGTGTGACATGAAGCGTGGCTTTGCTGTGTGCCGCAGGGAGGAGATGCAAAGTGAGAAGTATTTGGTAGCTTTTCAGGGGTCACTGCCCAGGGACCCACTTCTCTTCTTCCTCCAGGAGGCTGATGGGAGCTGGACCCCAAAGAAGGGCCTTTTGGTGGTCTGTAGGTTACTTTACATTGGTGGCGCTCGCATGAAACCTTAGGAAGTGTTAGGAAGGAGATGTGATTAAATTATATGTAGTGTATTTATTTGACTTTCTCCCTGTCTGACAGGAATTTACAGTAGAACAGACTCTTGTTGCACGTTTCAATGATAATCGCTGTTGCCTGGTATCAGGTTTTATACCACTGAAATTGAGAAGGGAAACCTTCTCCACTGCAGATTGCTCTTCAGAAAAGGAGCTGTGGAGGTGGCCAGTGGGGTAGGAGGGGTCGATCAGCCACTCCAGAAATTCCTTGCTAGGCAGGAGGTGGCTTCACAAGCCGAACCATCTCCTGCGTCCCCCAACACAGGGCAAGCCCTCCATCTTCTTCCCTGACCAAAGCGACTCCTCGTCTGTTGTTTTCTTCTCACCTCTTAATGCTGAAAATGCTCCTCAGAGCTTCAGATGATTATTCAAAATGGAGAGAGTGCTTTGCTTCTTGATTTTAAGATTTGTAAGATTTAAAGGTACACTGGCTTTATTTGATTTTGCTTTGAGTCATTGTGTGAAAATTAATTGAGCGTTGACAATCTATAGTTAGTACTAGCAATTTTAATCAATATGCAATGATGCAGCATAATGACAAAGTATTGGTTTATCTGTTTTGACTGATTTTTTTTCTATAAATAAAGCAAACATACACCCATATATGTGTGATTTATGGTGATAGAAATAAAAAAGAGTCAGACTATTAACCCAGCAAATATGGTAGCCTGCCAAGATGCAGTTGGTAGACAAAATTAATGTCTGAAACAGAACACATTACAGAGATAGAGAACATAAAATCATTAAACACTTCGCGCACCCATTTTTACTAGGAACGGATTTCTCACTTTCCATGTAGTTGGGAATAAATGGCTGCAGAAGTGCATAGGAAGGCTAAAGGATAGAAAATAACAGGCTGTTCAGGAACGCTGGAGCAGATGTCAAAGTCAGTGGGAAGTTTTTGGGGCAGTCTTGGGTAGAGTTGAGCGGTAGGTACGGACCCTTCCATTTCAGCTGATGAGATTCATAAAGCTGCTTGATCTGGAGGATACCAGCTCTCCAGAGCAGAAACTGCGTGCAGCGTCTATAAAAATAGCATTCTTCTAGTTCCTCATATCCATCTCAGCCTGAATGCAAATGCTTCAGCGCATTGTTGGCAAAGTGCGTAGACCCAACAGAATGGGAGGAGGCTTGGTTTCTATAGCTCTTACTGGATTAAAAATTAAAACAGCGGAATAATCTGGGAGTCTCAAAGCACTCTGCCTTGAGGCCTTTCGTAACAGCAGTGCCCCTCAGGAGGAAGGATTAAAAACTAAAGGGAGGAAATCACAAGAAGGCGAGCGGTGTTTGGCGAGGCAGCCGGTGATCAATGCTGCGCCGCGGAGGGCAGCAGCTCTGGCGGGCGTTGTAGGCTATGGAGGTGCCAGGCGGTGTCGCCGTGAAGATTAGTGTTAACAGCTAATAAACAGGGAAAGCAGAGGAAAAGAAAGAAGAGGAAAAAAAAAAAAAGGGAACGCAGGGGGAAAAGGGCTGTCTTGATTAGTATTAAAAATGTTTTACATTCTGGAAAATTATAGCTTTGTTGGGGACCTCCTACTAAATTTATTTTTAACTGCTCTATTGAAAATTCTGTACCACTAGTCAACATTATCTCTCAGTTGCTCAGCACAGTGTTTCTTTATTAAAAGAAATAGGCATGAATATTTTTGACTGAAAAATTAATAGCTTTTGAATTCATACACAGCAGGTTTTCTTTTGCAAAGAAGTCCAATATCGCTGCACAGCACTTCTATAACCATTTATTTAGAGTCCAAGTCAAACCTTTGACAGCTAGAGCAGTGTTACAAGCCAACATAAAGAACTCCAAGATGTAAACCAACAATAGGCAGTCTGTGTGAGGTTTGCCATTGTCAAATACATAGATTGTTTGGATTAGTTTATGTAAATGTACTGTTGTATTACCCTTTGGAAAAAAAAAGATCACATTTGTGTATGAAAAGTGGTTTCGTTCACAGGCAGCATTATAAATTCCTTATCCTTTAACTTACATGTTAGAAGTAAAAATTGGTGCCTGACAGGCCTATATTGTGTGGCACTCTGTTGTTGGATTGAAACTGCCTTCTTTTCATTTATTGAAATATAGAAAAATTTATTATAGATACCATCTGATAAATCAGAAATTATTAAAATATGTATAGGTGAAGCATTTGAAAATTAATTATAAAATGTAGGAGTATAGTGTTTTGCATAAATTGTGCTTTCGTTATGAAAAAATACACAGGCACCGCATAGACTCTGCTAGACCCCAGTCCTTTTAACTCAGTGGGATAGGGCTTTGGTAAAAAGATCTGATGACCATTATTGCAGTGCAGAGTATTCTTTACATCCAGTAATTAATTTTTTTGCCAACATAACTAATGCAAGGTGTACGTTAGAATTAATATATTACGGTACATCAGCAGTTATACAGGAAAGAGTGGCTGCAAATCCAAACGTAGCAATGAATTGGGATTTAAAATTACACCCTTTTCATGACTGAGAAAACGTTTTTATTCTGCTTAAAGGATCTTAATGCTTGTTTTGTTAAACAGTTTTGTTGCTGTGAGGCGGAACTGGTGCCTGAGCTGCTTACTTCACTGGTGCTTTCACCACGTGCCTTGTGCAACCTGTACTGGCCATTGGCCTTCCCTTGGGCTTCACGCAGGGCTGAGCAGTGGGGGCTGGACCCCAGGCAGCTTCTTGGTGCTGCTGCACTGATCGCAGCTCAGCCAGGTGTGGGGAAGCTGGTCCTGATCACATCCCCACCTGCAGGTGCTCCTTGCAGTTATTTCCACCCCTCCAGTGGAAGGGCCAGTGCCCCACACTGTTGTACCAAGGCAGGTGCCCTGTAAAGCTCTTCAGACTTATTAAAGCCAAGGAGACTTAACATGTTCTCATGAAATTTAGTAGTGATGACCCGAGCTGTTGGCTCATAGGTCTGTATGTGGACTTGCTGCAGGTAGGGCAGCTCTTCTGCCCCAGGGGAGCTCCTTTCTGGGCAGCCAAGAGAGTGGCACCAAGGAAGGGCTGAGCATTGACATAGGTTGTTCTGGCTGCCTGTTTGCTAATGTTTGTAATTACCATGTCCAGAGGTGCAGCAGCTTAAAAGAAAATGGAAGTATCTCAGCTTAGCACTTGGAACGTGCAGAGTTGTTCCTCTTACTGCTGCATGTGTTGTTTTGGTGAGAATAAAGGACTGAGCAAAGTGAGAACGAAGCTGTGAAGGAAAATGCTGTGACATATCTTTGTAAGGTACGTTTTTTTTTCAGGGAGGAACAAAACAGAGAAGCCAGAACAATGATTGCTCAAGAGCTATCACTCTGGTTTTGCTGTTAAGATGGTTCCCCGACATTGTGTTTTTGTTGGTGCAAGTGGTCAGCGTGGTAGGTTAAGATGGAAATGTGATTTCATTTTGGAGGATTAACTAACACTGCAGTTCATAGGAAGGAAAGGAAAAGGAAAAAAATCATGAACCAACAAACCATTGTGCATACTAGGTGCCATGTCCATCTTTAAAAACTGATAGAAAACTTGAAGAGAAACTTTTGGCACCTCAAATGAAATGTACTGTTAGATATCCCTTATTTGATGTATTTTTTTGCCCTAACCATAGCAATTACAATTGTTTTGAAATACTGTTTTTAGCAACTGTAATAACAAAGCATTTTAAAAATGGTCTTTTAACTCTTGAGGGAATGACTGAGCATTTTAGCTGCTGTAGCCATATAGTTTGAAAAAATAACGATACGCAGCAATAAAGAGAGATTCTCAAGCACAACAAAAGCTGTTTTTATATACTGGTTTTCATTAAGTCTCACTCCTCAGCTTCGGTTTCCTCAGTGCTGCTGCCAATAACAACACCTGCTAAGTGATTGCTGCCTGCCAGGCTCCCATCCAGTGCTGCTGTGTCCGAGCTGGAGCAGGAGAGGAGGATGCAGCATTGAGCAAAGCTCTGGGCCCAGCTTGCCATCCCACCCTCCGTGTCAAGAGAAGCAGTCTCTGCTCCAGAGTGTTGTAGGGTCCAGTTCTAATAAACCCTCACCTCGAATCATGACCAAAACAGCAGCATCAGTGGCAGGGGAATCCCTGCCCTGCAGCAGTGGGTATGGCCTCTCCGTGACATTTATAAATGTGTATTTCTTTTTTTTTTTTTTTTTTTTACTTCTAAAAGTGTTTCAAATCAGGGTTTTTTACTGCAGCCCCTATTGTCATGGAAGATATTTACACAGAAAGGAATCAGGCTGAGCCCTAATGGGAGAGCCACTTACTGGAAATCTATTTTACAGGGTGAGAGAGAGGGCTACCTCTCTGCCTTGTTTATATCTAAGGAAAAAACTATGACTCAGTCTTCACCTTTAATAGGAAGACATGACCATTTCTTGAAAGGGAAAGTTAATACTAAAATCCTAAGCAGGATATTGGATGCTGAAACAATTAAAACAACTATGGTTGTTGAGTTAAAGCAGCACGAAGCACGGTTCTTCAAAACTGAAACTGAACAAAGCACCCAGCACCCTTCACTGACTAAATTTACAGAATTTTAGGACTTCAAACTGTTACGGGGTTTGGTTTGTTGTTTTATTCTTGTTTTCTTTTGTGGCTGGAGGAAATCCTCCCTCCCCCATCCCCAGCGTAAACGTTGCAGAACCAGTTAACCCTTGGGTGGCGGGGCTGTGCCTTGCTGCCCAGTGCTGACTTTGTGCCTTGTGTGCGATCCCTTCAGCCCAGAACAGTCCCTCACCAACACGTGCAGTATGTGGGACACAGGCAGTGTGCAAAGTGCCCGTGTGAACAACTTTTCTAATCATAGAAACTTGTTTTTAAATAGAAAATGCGAAGAGCATCAGGAAGAGAAACCCTCCCAGCCCAGTCCCTTCCTGATCTTTGCCCTGAATTATCATCCGCTGTGCGTTTCTGATTGCCGGCAGTATTAAGATTTAATAGTTTACAATCCAGATGAATATTTCAAGAAGGCAACAAAACCAACACCATTCATAATTTGTTGTTCTGCTCCAATTCACCACCGAGCTCTCCGCCTTGACACTGCAGATCCCACGAAGATAGTGGCCCTCACCTCCCCATAGCCACCCCACGTTTTGGTACCATCACCACAGGGGTCGGTCCCCTGCCCAGGAGCAGAGCAGCACCAGGTATGGGGCAGGAAGAGGGAGAACTTTGGTGGCGAGCACCGAGGTTGTCTTTCATTAACTTGTTGGTTCAGGCTCAGCACTGGCCGGCGGAGGTGAAGCACAGCACACTCACTGCGTTCCAGCTTTTTGTTCTTTCTTTCCTCACAGACTGCAGTCATGTTTAATTTGGAAACTGGGCTCCTTTGGCAAATTAGCAATTAGAACAATTTTGTGGGAATATGTATATGTGTCATTAGTTTTCCTGCAAATTAATAGCGAGAGCAGAGGTCAGGCAGAAATTTTCCACTTGACTGCAGCTCCTCTGTTGAGATTTGGCACTTTGTTTTGGAACGGCCACAGCTGCTCAAAGCCACAGTCTTCCTTTAGGAACTGTCTTTTAATTAGTTTACCTCATAGCCATTATTACAAATATTACTGCCTCCCCTCCTTGAAATAAAATTACTGTTTCTACAAAATATTCCAATGACATCTTGCACCACTGCACATTGATGGTGGGGTCACTCGAATGCAGCGTTTAATCATTAGATCACCTCCATAAGCATCTCCTAATTAGAGTCCTTACAATACAATTTTATCTGGTAATTAGCTGAGATTGGCTGCTTCCTCTGTAGCTTATTAGTGGCAGCCCAGCAGTGGGTGTGAATCACAGTGTCATTTGTCAAGCCTGTTAGGGCCCCCCCCTTTGCTCATCCTCTCTCCTGTTTATTTCTAGTTGCTACCTACGCTGAAAAGCCTAAAGAAATCTAACTCGATTCAAATTCTTGAAGCAGGGAATGCTGACCTTTGGGGATTCTCTCTCACAGCTCTCTGGTAGAAACAGATTAAATGTTAAGTTTTTAAACGCTAAGAAAGGAAGCGAACTCTTTTGAAATGGAGTAGCGAGAGCCGTAATGATGGAGCGCGAGCAGTGATCTTTCCAACAGGAGGCCCGGCTGCCGAGCCTCTGCCAGAGACGGGCACTTAAAATTGATGCAGATTTGCTCGCAGTTATTGGACTGTTAAAATGTCCATTTAGAAACTGAGATAAAATACAGAAGATTTAATTTCATGGTGAGACCTGTCAGTTGTACTATTATTATCATCACTGGTCCTTTTATCATATGTAATAGATGGATAGATGGATAACAGGGAGACATTACAATGAGCGTGTCCCTAATCAGTGGCCTTAAATCACGCCAGTCAACAAGCAGAGGTGGCTGCGGCACCGCAGGCTCACAGCGTTCCACCAGCCCGCCGTGGCAGGATGCTCTGGGAAATCACTGCCTGCATTTGACCACCCTCGTCATCTCCTCGCTGGGTTCCTCCTCCTGTGGCCTCACCACGAGCTGCTGGATGGTCCCCATGTGGGCACAGGGCACACAAGGAATGGGTTGCCTGCAGTACCTAGCAGCGTGCAGGGCTGCAGGCAGCAGCACTTGGCTGTGTGAGGATTTTGTGGCTGGGCTTTAATGCGGGCAGAGTTGCTCAAAAAGCAGGGACAATTTATTGAAAAACTGGTGCTATTTATCCGTCGCTTTGCTGTGCCCTTCCTGTGGGCAATCAGCTTTTTCTCTTGGTGTCATTTCTGTGACACGAGAGCCCTTTGTTTTCCATTACCTTTGTTTGGGATAAATCCTGTTATTTTGATAAAGGAGCAGCAGTATTTCTGGCTGTTAACTCAGACGAGGGATGCTAATAGGAGTTTTCTTATCTGGTTACTTTCACACGAGGAAAATTAATACAGAGTCTTATGGATAAACATGAGATGTTTGGGGGCATATCTGAATTGTGTGCCTCGCCTTCATCTGAAAAGCTTTAATGTCCAGCCAAAAGGAATTTTAATCAGAACAAAAGTTATAAAATTCTGGCCCTGTTAAATTCAGTAGGAATTTTGCTACTGACTTCAATGGGGTCAAGATTTCAGCAATATTATTTGCAAAAGTGCCTAAGGGAAGGAAATGTGGAAGTAGTCAAAGAGCCCTTCTTTCCCTCGTCTTTTCTGATGTCGTTAAGAGATTGGGTTGTTTGTTTAAAGTACTCCAGCAGGAGCGAGCTATTGTAAGGGAGCATCGTTTTTCGGAGGGCATTGCAGGGCAGCGGGCAGGAACAGATGCTGTTGGTATGGATGTGGCTGGGTGCTGAAAGTGGTTGGGTTCTGTTTGGGTTGGATGCACAGTCCCAGAGGCGTTCAGCTGCTGCCCTCGTGCAGGTAACACCGTGCCTCCCGTCAAGAGAGAGCAGAATGGGGCCACTTGTGCTGGGCTGAGTGGCTGCAATATTTCATGCGGTGTGATTAATTAAATTATTCCAGAGTTAACCTACTCAGAGCTTTGCTTTTAAAATGGATGAACGGGAGGAGAAGGAAAAAAAAAGCAATCCCAAATGCTGAAGAGAGAGATTGCGTTTCTCCCTGGTATGTCCCTATGAAAATCTGGCCTTTTATTCTTAGCCTGATGCCTTCAGTGAAATATCCAAGAAGACTGATTAGAAGCCATGCATAATGATAGCATGGAAATAAGAGGTGTGGGGTTCAGATCGTGAAACAGTGGAACTACAATAAAGTACCAAAATGATGACACACTCCATAAGATCTTCTTTTAAGGTTTGGGTGCAAATCCACTATTTGTAGTTCTGGCAGCGGGCTGCATTGTTCATTTTATAAAATCCATCTATCTGGAAATGTACATATTTATTTCCGTTTGCTAATGGAGGTGCTACAACAGCACTTGGAGCTGAAGCGAGCACTCAGCTGCATTGTCGGCTCTGAGTGGAGGGTCCTTCCGTTAATGAGAATTTCCCCCACCACCCTTAATTAGCCACAGTCGCCTTTTGTAATGCAGCCTTCGTCCTTTCCCTCCGCAGCTCAATCTGGTGTCCAGCGTCACGCTTTCCAAGACAGCATCCGAGGCTTCTCCACAGAGCTTACCTCATACTCCCACCACCCCGACTGCACCCATCACTCCCGTCACGCAGGGCCCGTCGGTCATCACTACCACGAGCATGCACAACGTCGGGCCCATCCGGAGGCGGTACTCGGATAAATACAACGTCCCCATTTCTTCAGGTAAAGCGGTGCTGCTGATGCGGGCCCTTCCCAGCCCGGCAGCTTTCTGTCACCTACACCCGCAGCGACGGGCTGTGATGATAACAGAACAACTGTTCTTTATTTAGCAGATATTGCCCAGAACCAAGAATTTTATAAGAACGCAGAAGTTAGACCACCGTTCACATATGCATCTTTAATTAGACAGGTGAGTGGAGCCAAACACAGGCATTCGGATTAGACAAAGTCTCCCTATATGTGCGCGCTCTGGATTAAATAGATTTTCGAACCTTTGGTATGTAAGCATGCTCAAATGCTCAAACCTTTACTATAAGGGTTTTTAGAACTGCAATATATAACATAATTGCTTTTGATTAAGTATTACAATACGATGTGATTATTAGGAAATTCATTTCACACAACAGTGAAAATGAGCCTGTTTAAAGATGGCAAGTCAATTATCACAAGCTACAGTAATCTCTGATCCCTAGAATTAATCTGAGCTCTAAATAATTACTGAGCTTTAATCAGCTAGTGAAATGTTTTGCATTTCTCTTTGATTCTGCTTTATGAATGACTAATAAATTAATATTTCTGTAAGGAAACAGAAATAAAAACTCAAAACAATTAGATAATTCCATTTTGAATTTTGCCATTGAACTGTTAAATACAGCCATTAATCTTAGTTCATATTGTGAAAACCTTGCTTCGGATTTTTGCTCCAAATCCCTTCTCTTATTTTCTCATTCCTTCATTCTTTCATTCTTTTTGTATTGGTCCAAGTAAAACTCTGACTGTATTTTGTACTGACTTGCTCACAACTGATGTTGCCATTGATTTGCTTCACAAGGCCATCCTCGAATCTCCAGAAAAACAGCTAACACTAAATGAAATCTACAACTGGTTCACGCGAATGTTTGCTTACTTCAGGCGCAACGCGGCGACGTGGAAGGTAAGCCTTAGCCCGTGTGTGCCTCTTGCCTTTGATATCTGACATGTACAGAATAGACATTGCTGATGACATAACAAATTGTAACGACATGTGGACATGAAAATGTAGATCGGCAGTTGTGACACGCGCTGGATGCCTTATCTGCAGGAACAATTTGATATTTGGCAGAAAAACTCCTCTGCCTTTGAAAACCACTAATTGAATCCCCCATTATTGGCTTTTATGTTCTGTGATTATGCCACGAGTTCCTCTGTGTGGTTGCTGCTAGCAGTGAAACTCAAGCCCGTCAGCTGGAATGTATTAAAAAAAAAAAAAAAAAGAGGTAATGTTATTGTGTCGGTGGAAGATATGCTGTTTGTCTTCTTAGTTATGCAGGCTGTAATCACAACAACTGATTTTTTTTCCCTAGGATCAGTAGATAAATGGATTCCTTTCCTCATTCATTTGACTCTCAACTACATACGCAGATATTTTACAAACTTCTTCATTTTAGTCACACAGCAGCAGCTCATTGAACATACTGTGTAAGAAGCAAGCCTTCCCATAAGAAATCTGTTCAACAGAACTAAAAACTGATATATTTGGCACTTCAGTTTCCTACCGTAACCATCTCTGATATTGTTAGATAAGAGGTCTTGGGAGTTACTTGTATTTTGGGGGCTGCTCTTTCTCTTGTACGTAGCGTTATAACAGCCACTCTGGCTTCTTAAGCTGGTATAATTACTAATTAATGAATCAAAGAAAAAGATCTTGTATTGCAGTAAAAATCGCATCCCAGTAATTTGAGCTGCTCTCAATCTAGACAGCTCTGTTGCTCTCAGACTTCAAATGACCAGGTAGCATGAATGTGTTCCATACTTGCTGTTTCATTTGCTCTTTCTGTTTTTCTTGTCTCAGCCTGCATTTGGAATTAATTCCATCAGAGGATGGAGCTAAAAATCGTCCTTGGAATTTAGTTCAGTTTTAGTAGCACAGTTCGCTTTTAATTCAGATCCCAGGGCAATTTTTACATTTTCAACCTCAATCTCTAACCTTTTAGATTCAGGAAAAGTCTCTATGATTGCTGCTTTGATTCTTCAACTTCAGTTAGAAAACATGAGCAGTGTTTCACTTTGCAGACTCCTTACTATCCAGAAAGGAAATTAACTTTCCCTGATTTAAGATCCATTTAGACCTGCCTGTCTTTTGCTGCTGGAGTGCTTCCAGTAGGCCTTTTCAGCAGCTGCAGGTGTGGGTGCTAAAGCAAAAATCCTATCTAATTCCAGCGGTGAAAGGAAGTGGAGAAGGGAGTGGAAGAAGGCAATCTTGGCAGCCTGCAAGGCTAATGGTAGGAATTAGCCTTGCGTATCACTTAAAATCAAGTCCCAGGAGCCACGTGCACTAACAGTGTGCTTGTACAGAGGAGGAGGAGAGAGGCTGAGCTGGAGACCCTTGGGCTCGGAGAAGAGCACAGCAGGTCTATGCAGAGACAAATCATGGACACCCTGACCCGGGAGCCCACATCCTGCTTCGCAGCCTGGGAAGGAAAGGTTCACTTCAACTTCTGGCTTCCATGCAAGGAATGCAATTTTTGAGCTACTCAGATTCATGCCAGCCTTCAGGAACAGCGGGGATGAAAATGCAGCTCTGGCTTGGCATGACGGGAAGCCCACGGGGCGCAGAATGAGCGCAAGGGTCTAATTGCAGAATCAGAATAATTTGAATATATATGTGCTGATTTGAGCTCACCTTCAGCTAATGTGTAGGGGGCATTCGAGTCAGTTTTCCTAAAGTTTAGGTCAGGGTTTGGTGTGGGCAGGCTTCCTGGAGACCTGTTTCAAAACCACAGATGAGCACAGGAATAACAACCTTGAAAAAATGAACCTCTCCCCAAAATGCAGTACAGCGGAGCTTGAGCAGTTATGAAAATTACAAACCCTTTCATTTACTACATTCAAGTATGTTCAGGGTAGTTTTTCTGCAAAAGTGGCTTGCATACAAATATTTTTACCAAGGTAAATATATAATCTTAGAATAATAGCTCCTAATTTTTGTGTTAAGCTTATTGCTAAGGAAGCACTGTGAACTGGTTCTAACAGGTCAGAGGCGATGCATGTTTACTTTTATTTTTTGGAGTAATTTGCTGGCACTGAATTGCAGCCATGAGGCATAGGCTGCAGGTGTGGCTCTGAAACATGAATAAAACTGCTAGATAGCAAGTATCCAGAGGCACTGGGAACAAAACAATGTGGGTTTTTTTGTGATGAATTCCTTAAATAAGTGATCATACTGAAAACTGAAAGTGAGAGCAGTGCTTCGTGGACATCCTGCAAATACCCAATGTGTTTCTCTCAGTATCTTCAGCAAGAGCCTGATCCGGCTGCCCCAACCCTCGATGGCAAGTCACATAACAGTCTGTAAAAGATTTCTCCAGCATTAGATCTGTTTAAAGAACACAGATATTTCTGCTCAGCTGTGTATTTGGAGACTGTTTACAAACTCCGAGGACTCACTTCACCGAACTCTGCTGTATGCGTTTGATCAACTGCCGTATTAACTGGGAGATCGGCTTTCACTGTGGGAAATAGCATTATTATTCTTACATTTTGCTCCAGACTTGACAGCGTTCCCATTTTCACAGGAAACTGCCTGAGTTACCCAGATGTGGGCCGGCAGCCCTGTGTCAGGTTGCGCTCACACAGAGCTCTGCTCCACCGGCGGCTGCTGAGCTGCTTTCCACCCGTAAGGTGTGGGGCGTTCGCAGTTCTGCTCCACCTCCCAGTCAGGGGCTTTGCCAGAACTTGACAAACTAATGAAAACTGGGAGAGGAAGGAGAAGGGTCATTAAAAAAAAGGAGAACAAAGTAAGAGCAGGAAGAATGACAAACGGATACCCATGTAAGAGCTGAAGTGCACAGAGCTTGCCACAGAGCCAGGCCATCCCAGTGTCCATGGGATCGGGCACCTGCAGCCAGAGGAAATGAGCTTGCTGCCAAGTATCTGCTGAATGCTCCCATGGAGCAGGGACAGTGCTAGTGATGGCAGGGACATGGAAAAGTAGCATAAGATTCTTCTCAGCCTTTCCTTTGCAAGCGCACACGCCACTGCTGCTTAATTTACATGACAAATGCACTCTCCATACCCTTTGTTTGCACAGTGATTTAGACATTCATGATTAGAGCTCACTTTCACCATCCAGACCCGATGTTCATTAAAAAAAAAAAAAAAAGATGACGCTGACAGGAGGGAAAAAAGTGTGGTCTCTTGGTTGCCTAGACCCAGGCCATGTGTTTGGCTGGCATTGTGCCTGCTAACGAGTCAACCAGATTGACTAAATCAATGGTGCCAGTGATGATGGATGGAGTTTGTTCGCCTGCATATTCTCAGCAAATGGCTTCTTCTGCTCTCCCTGCTTTCCAAGCCCCTCTCTGTGGTACTGGAGATGAGCTCTGTGTACCAACTGGAGCAGCTTTGCACTGGGGAAACCCACGCTGTGGGATGTAGCATGGCACTCCGTGTGAGCAGTATGGGGAGCAGAGAGAGCAAAACCTCAGCTTGCCATGAGGCAGCGAGGTGTCTCATCGTGGCCACCTGAGGGGAACGTCTCAGTGCACTGCAGGTTATGCCAGGCTCATCCTCCAAACCACAGCTCACACCCAAGCACAGAGCCTGGGAGCGCCAGGGTCCCTCTGGGTGATGAGCTGCAGGGATATTATCACTTTGTTTCAGAGAGCCCTCCTTGTGTTTGCACTTGGCAGAAGCTCAGATCAGTCCGTGCAGCAGTCTGCCAGGAACGGGAGCCAACTTCCATATAAGAGCACACAGCAGAGGCAGGGGCTGGGGCCGTGCCGGCCAGCGGGGTGCTGCCGAGCCCTGCTCTGTGCCGCCGATGGGGCAGGAGCTCAGCACCTGATTGCCATTAATTCAGCTGTGGGAAACCACAGGAGCAGCAGCCCCAGTGCCTCCCCGCTCCATTGAGCCATCCACACTCACATGAAATCCTTACTGTTCTTTCACAGTGCTTTCTTTTCCAGGAGAGGAGAAGCCTATGTATTTGTTTTGAAAATGTCGATGCAATGTTCCTCTTGCGTTGTGTATGAAATGTGCCATATTATACAACGTGTGTGTTTATAAAATGATGGCTGTTCTCATTTGTACTGTGGGTAATTGATAAGAATGAGCTGATTTTTTTAATCTTGGGTTGAAGCTTTTATATTTATATTAACTTTGCAAAATAAGATGTAAAGAGCTGGGGTGCGGGGAGAGGGGTTGACATTGCAAAATGAGGGCTGTCAAGCTGACTGTGCTGCTGTTCTTGGACAATGATGAGCATTTTCTCATAGAAAGTTTTTGAATGTATTCTCTTGCTGCAGAATGCAGTGCGTCATAATCTTAGTCTTCACAAGTGTTTTGTGCGAGTAGAAAACGTTAAAGGGGCAGTATGGACAGTGGATGAACAAGAGTTCCAAAAACGAAGGCCACAAAAGATCAGTGGGTATGTCCACCATGTTTGAACTTCTTAGCCTAGCTTGGATCATGCTTACAGTTTAACGTAGAGGCTTTTGGCTGCTAGCTGGTGTTAGACCAACCACAGGTGGTTTCGCATTGTTTCAGTTAAGGGAAACCAAGACAAACATCTCATCACTACTGTTTGTATGCCCACCAGTACCCTGACCCTGCTTGCTTGGTGTTTGTTGCATCACATGCTAGTAGCTTTTAGGTGGCAATGCATATTAACCCTCACAAACCATTTGCTTATGCTTATTGCATTTTATTTTCTTTTTCCTTTTCCCTGTATTTGATGTCTGTTCTGTCCCCGATCCCGTGTCCCTTTGTTTCCACTTCATCTCCTTTGCTGCTGCTCTTGTCCCAGGGTGCCATTCGCACCAACCTCTCACTGCATAAGTGCTTTATCAGAGTAGAGGATGAGTTTGGGTCCTTTTGGACTGTTGATGATGAAGAGTTTAAACGTGGCCGTCATATTCAACGAGGCCGTCCTCGAAAATACTGCCCTGATGAAAACTTTGGCGAGCTTGTTGCACAGTAAGAGCTTTTACTTGCTTTAATTTTTTTTTCTGCTGTTGCTTTGCTTTGCATGATTTACCCATCTCATGTAGACTTGCATTTCACAAAATAGTGACATCACCTTTGCTGCTAAAGGAGCAAAAGTTTTAGTTGTTATGTGTGTATTTTGTGTGTCCTACTCTGATAATCCAAATGCCTATAATAATAACTCTGCTTTGACATGTTTGTTATAGCATTTGTTCATAGCGCTACGTAGCCTAAAATAATGATCCTCAGTAATGCAGATATGCTGCTGTAGATCTGTCAGGAAGACAGATATATGCCAGGAGGGGCTTCAGATAAGTTTGAATTCTGATATTTCCCTTTGCTTTCAATTGTACGCCTGGGTTTGCAACACTTTAATGGATTAACATTAAAAAAAAAAAAAAGAAGTGCAGTGAGACCATCTGTAAAGATTACGAACAGCAGTGCACCCTGTGCCTGCAACAACCACACACAAATATTCCTGGGGTTCCTGAAGTAATTTTGTTTGACCTTTCCTCGAAGGCCATCTCTCCAGGACAGCTGATCCTTGCCGGTCCCTGTGGGAGAGGCTCAGTTATGACTTCTCTCACCATGCCTTACTCTCATATGAAAAAAGAAAAAAGCCCAGCGAGTGTAAAACTTTCTGAAGATGTTTTGCACTGGCACTTAGTATCTAGCTTGCATTTGAGAATTTTTTTTTTCCTCCAGTGGGGACTGGTGATTTTTAATGCCCACTAAAGAGTGGATAAGCTCGCCATACATTTTCCTCAAATCCACCTCCTTATTTAAACTTCAGATGACTAAATCAAAGGTCTGAGATGGCACATCAGAACTGTTACTAGAATGGCCGTTAGAGCAGTGTGCTCCCCACCTCTTGGCTGCAGAGCAGCAGGACCAGCTGCTTTGCCTCCGTGCCACCTTCCCTCTTTCCCCATGTCCCAAACTGTTTGGGGCAGGAGTGCAGGCAGTGCCAACCCTTTCCCCGTCAGGAAATAATGTGGCTCAAAATCCACTCTTGTCACGGTCCCCCATTGAGTTGCAAGGAATTCTGCTGCCAGTGACTTTGAGAACAATTTGCCGTGCACAGTATTCCATGTATTCCAAGTATTCCATGATGCTTTTGGTCGTGGTCTCCTTACAGTGGACCCTTACATGGTAACGGCTCACAGAAACGCTGAATATTGGAAAATTTCTCCTGAACACACTAAAATGAGCAGAGATCCCAAGATGTGCTACTAACACAGGGTAGTAGAACACATTGTGAGGTAACGTCACAATATAATGATATTCCTTATTTAGTAAAGGCAAATATGTTAACTGTAGGCAAAAAACTCTGATATTTTCTTTAAAGAAAAAGAGAAATGAAAGAGAACTTGTGTGGAAAAACAGTCTGAGCACTAGTTTTCTGGTGTGGGAGGAAGCGTTACATGCTTGAAATGTTCACATAGAGGTTGGTTGCATTTAACTCTCCTTTTTATGTTTTTCTTATGCAGTAACCCTTCTCTTATTAAAAACATACAGACCAGCCACACCTACTGCACACCTCTCAATGCTGCTTTACAGGTAAGATTAATGACTGTAGCAAATATGCAACAGAGGCGTGTGTCTTCCCCACTCATTTCAAAATATATTAGCCTTGCTCTAATTAGATATTAAATTTTAATTCCGTTAAACTTTTTTCTTAAGTGCATAAAGCATCATAGTCCCTGGAGGCAAACACATATCAGGCTGCTTCAGCATTAGCTAGATGCTTAGCATTTTGAATATTGTGGCAAAAAAATTAAAAGTTCACTTATTAATATTTATCAGCAGTATCATAATTTCCATCCTCTTATTTCAGAATTTCACTTGAGGCAAAAATACCACAAGTGTAATTACTCTAGCACAGCTATTAATGTGCTGAATGATAGGATACTGTGTCACGTGACCTTCTATTGTTCATGGTTTTAAAGAGAAAGCAGATCATTTTTCCCCCTTTTCTTTTAAGGGCTATTTTTGCATATCTTCCTGTTGTTGTTAAAAAAAAAAAAATGTTGCAATTCCTACAGAAAAAAAAAATGGGAATTTGTGTTGGTTTCAACTGCTGTAAGACAAAAATGTTGTTTTTCACAGTATAGAAATGCACTTAGTGTTTCATGCACTGTTAATAACTGGCATCCTGAAAGCGTGTGCTTCTCCAGACCCTTTTTCATGTACTGTTCATGAGGTTTGCTTTTTTTTTTTTTTTGTCTCTACAAATTCTCAAGTCCATCTCAACAACCTCAGGTAATGTCAGGACTCACCGACTGAGTCACAGTCTGACTGACTCACCGACCAGAGGCACAGACACATTCCTGTGCCCTGGGTTTGCAGGCTGTTGTGTTGGCGCTGCAGTCCAAGCCCCATCCATACCATGGAAATGCAGCCAGGATGCAGCACCGCCTGTGGTTGTGTCCCCACTGTGTGTGTGTAGAGGGTCACCTCTCCAGCAGCTCACTGGTGGCCGTGGATGTTGGCTTGGGCCACTGCATTCTGTAGAAGCGTTAGCAGGCTTCTCTTTTCCAAACCAGGAAGCAGATTATTAGGAGAAAAGTGATGTTCTGTGTTTCTTCTCGCGATCGGAGTTTGTGCAGTAACTTCTGAAAAGCAAATGAAAGCATGTTTAAATGAAGCAACTGTAAATACCATTCATTAGTAACTTATTTTCCCTTGAGTCTTGTGAAGTGTGATTTTTAAAGACCGCTTTGTCTCTTGAATAGTATTAAGATTACAAGCACATTTTACATTCATGAGGCTGAAAGGCAAAAATGAAATGATCCTGCATTTCTTCACGTTGTTAACTATGTGACTAATTTCAATTAATATGCTTATCATACGGAACTGTTCATGTTTTATTTCTCAAACACGTGTCGTTGTCGTCATCTCCATCCATTCTTGTCTTCAGTGATAAACCTCCAAACTGCCTCCCTTCCCCACCTTCCCTGGCAGAGGCACGTGCCCGTGGCCTCACATAGCGTGGTAGGAATTCAACTGATGGAGAAAAGAGCCTGGGCCAGGTTCCTTCCTGCTTGCATGTCCCCTGTAATAAACAGGGGTGAGAAATCATGCTATTCATTGCACTCAGACAGATCCTTCTTTGGGTTTTAAACAGATCAGTGGGTTCCTCTCTGCTGGGTATACCGGGAATCCGTATCCCCTGGGATGCTTGTAGTACGGGGCATCTTGAGCAGAGCTGCACCATGGGAACCCAATGCACGCTGACCTCCTGCTGCAGACGCCTTCCCATATGTTTTTTTTTCCCTGTGGGGTGGCAGAACCACCCCTGTGACATCTCCTCCATCTGCTTTCCCTCACGGCTGTGCAAGGCAGGGGCACACAGCTCTCACCAGCACTGCCTTTTCCCAGCAGGTTGTCAAGAGCTTTTGTGCTCCCCAAACCACCCCCTCACCACTGTCATCATAGCATGTACTCCTCCTGTCCCGCGTTCCCCCCAAGAAACTGCTTTACTGCAATTACAAGTTATCACTGTTGGTGAAGAACTTGAGTCGTTATTTTGCCAAGTGCAGGAAATGTGAACCATTCTTTGCATCCCCTCATCACAATGAGTTTGCCGGTTGTTGAATCAAGAAGATAAAAATAATCCTCCCTGTTAGAATAGCTTTTGTAATCATGTGTGACACATAGGGCTGCACATGGAGAGGTCAACATAAGGAGGAATAAAAGGGGCCGTGCCCCCAAGGATGCTGCAGGCAGAGCTGGCCATCCCTCAGCCCCTGCGTATGGGAACAGCTCTACTGGCCTGGATGGTGGTGAGCATGGAGCTTGGTCGCATGAATTAGGAGAGGAGGTCAGCATTCAGTGGGGAGAGCGTTCGTGTGAATTCCCCTCCTGTGGGCAGGTTTGCATCATGCAGACCCGCAGTCAGATGGATTTTTTGATTCTGCGGCCAGCTGACCTCCCCCCAGCATGGGTTGAGCACAGCCGAGCCAGCATCTGTGGTCCTGGTGCTGGCGCTGTTGGAAGGCAGCAGATGATGTTATCTGGACGTGGCTCAGATGGGTGAAGTGGTGAAATGTCCTTTGAGTTCCCTCAGCACCACAACCCCTAAGGCCTGCTGCCCTCCCCACACACACGTCCCCGCATAGCGCTGGGCTCCTTGGGGCTCCTGCAGTGCCTGGCTGGGCATGGGACTGTGCTGCCAACATGAGCTAATCCTGACATACAGTAAATATTAGCAGGCAGAGCGGTGGGAATCAGAAGGAAAATATTTAACAGTTCATTCTCTTTGTACAAAGATTTCCATTTAGAAAGTTAGCTGCGGTGTGCCTCTGTCTGGTGTTTCTTTAGAAGGGTGAAAAACCTCAGAGAAATGGTCACATCTGCAATAGCGAGGTGGAAAGCTGGGTTGTTGATGCTTAGAAAGAGTGGGGGAAGACTTGTCAGAATTCATCAGATTCCCACTTTTCCAGTGACAAGGCAGGACTGACAATTTCACATGGACTGGTTCGGCTCTCAGGTACATCAGTGCAGGCTGCACAAGAAAATCAGGCTCGGTAGTGTTGTCATCCCGCTGTGTGCCTGCCTGTGCTGGTAGGAAGGAGTTACCAGCCAAGCAAGTTCTAATTTTTTTCCTCATTAACCTTCATTAAAAACAAAGCCAAAAGCCAGACCTAAGCCACCAAAGAAAAAAAAAAAAAAGAACCAACCCAAAGCCCCAATCATAATTTTGTAAAATGAAAATAGGAAAAGCACATTTTATTTTTCCAGGAGGTGTAATTCCAAATAGGGAATGGAAAGCTCCATTTCCACTCGCAAGCCAGTGCAGCTATGAATGCATAAACCCAGATGTAAATTATGTTAAATTTCCCTTGGTGGAATCAGTGTAATACCTATCAGAAAGCACAATATTTAAAAAACTGGTAATTGCGAATAATGTAAATGTGGAGAATGTTTTGGAATAAGTGAGCGTGTTGTGCAGTGTATAAAAACGTTAGTCATGGCTCTTCATATGTTTGTTTGTGTCCTTGGCAGGCTTCAATGGCTGAGAACAGTATACCTCTATACACTACTGCTTCCATGGGAAATCCCACTCTGGGCAACCTAGCCAACGTGATGAGGGAAGAGCTTAATGGTGCAATGGAGCATACGAACAGTAACGGGAGTGACAGTAGTCCAGGACGTTCCCCTATGCAAGCAATGTGAGTATGGCAGAGCTGCTCGCGCTGGTGGAGGCGTTGTCTTATCTGCTGGAGTGTGACTGTGGAGGTTCTTGGTGTGAGCAGCACAAGTCCATCTGGGGATGTGCTTTGGCTGATGAGAACATAAAAGGGCCATTTACCAACTTTCACATAAAGGAATCAGCACAATCCAGTCTGACAGGCACACGGGACTGTAAAATTGTTAACTGATTTGTAATTCTCTTCTTTAAACCTCGGACCGTGGGGTTGCAAAACCTCTTAGGCAACTGCATTTCTCAGAGGAAAGACTGGTGCTTCCCTCCCCTTCGGAGCACACGGCAAGCGCGCCCGGTGGGGCCGGGCTGGGAAATGGGCCTGTTGGGCAGGTTTGACAAACACTTGATGCACAACAGTCTCGCTCAGCATTAATGATGGCACACGTGAAGGTCTGCATGATTTATAGATTGCTCTTAAAATATCAAAAGGAAAATTAATAGGAGCATTATAGCAACAGACGGCAGTATAATGAGTGCATATATAACCGCATGAAGTAATGGGGGATTGCTGTCCCTGCTCAACGTGAATGGCACCAGGGCAGCGAGCTCGCGCAGGAAAGGGTAAGGCAGGAAGGGTGTGATGCCCCTATGGGTGTGCTCAGTATTTATGGGGTGATGGAGTGAGTTTGCAAAGCTGTAAATTCCCCCCTCCCCTCAGATTGCATACCGGGTAATTGGCAGCTGGCAAGGGAGCCAGAGTTTATAAGTCTTGTAGTTCTCAAATGTGAAAAAGTACCTCAACTACCTGTGCGAGTAGCCGTGCTCAGGAGCCCACTGCCATCCCGCTGGTGGTTCGTTAGAATGGGCTGCAGAATTACTGGCTGCCTCGCCACAGCTCACATTACACATTAAAAAGAGAACTAATTTGTCGTCTTTTACTTCAAAGTAATTTGAATAAGGGATTTACAAAAGTAAGTCTAAATCAAAAAGTAGAAAACATTAACCTAATACCACTGTAGTAATTAGTTGCGAAACTAATTAGCATTTAATGGCAAAAAAGTTTCCCACCTGCATAATGTGTTGTCAGAGGGGAGGGGGGCACGGAGGAATCTGAAGCTCTGGGTACTTTGATATCGCAGCATTTTAAATCAGCGCACAATGTGCTTTGAAAAAAACCATCTTTAAAGATGGCAACATTCATTTTTAATTAATAATTAATTTTAAACATTGTCTTTTACCATTTACTTCAAAACATTCAAATCATCTGTTTAGCTTTTCCAGTGGTTGTTTGTGCAGTATTAATTATCTCTCCCAAAGTCGCATTACGTGACACGCTTCCCGTCGATCAGAAGCAGATTCATCTTGAGGCACTTTGAGTCACAGTTTGTTATCCTCTGCCCGTGACCACGCGGGGCCGGAGTGGAGGAGGAGCACAGGGACGTGGGTTTTCTCCAGGAATGAGGCTTCTCCCAAGGGTTTCTCCTGGCTTAACAGACAGGGACAAATGTTTCTGATGTTGCGTTAATCCAAGTAATTATTTTTTGTGAGTTCAAGGCTAGCGAAGTTTGTGCACTTCTCGTTTCACCTAAGGTTTCGTTGTCTTTGAAGAGACTGTGAGGGGGGGAAGTGACCGAGTTGAAGCAGGCTAGGACATTTTCCAGAACTGTGCATAGCCGTGGCCTTTGTTGCACTTAATAATCATCTCTTAGCACATTGATACCAAGGTGAGGGGCACCGAACAAATACTGGAGAGAGAGAGGAGGAGAGGGGGAGGGATGCCTCATTTTCATTATTCACTAGAAAATCCAATTTTCTGTTGTAATATGGAAATGATTGTTTCCTGAGTGTTTTCATTTTCTCAGAATTGATAATATATGTGTTCTCTGCTGAACATTTCTTTTTGCTTAAGTAAAACGTGGCGAGGTGATGTTCCAATCCCAGTCTGTGAGTTTCCCCGTTAAAATGGCGTTTCTAAGTAGTAGGAAGGGATCTAAAGCCAGAACACCATTCAAATGCCTCAAGTTTGCCCTGTTTAGTAAATAAAATCCAGAGTCAACAGTGGATTTCCAGACACTGTGCAACCCCAGACTGTCAGTGAGCATGCTTCAGTAATGACGTTTCTAGTCTTTTTCTCAGTGCAGATTTCCTTGTCCCAATGCAAATGATTTTTTAAACAATTTCAGTATATTAAAATAAATCAAGCTTTAAACTTTATTGTAAGGTTTAGAGGACCTTGTTAACATGACAGCTAAGAAGTCTAACACTTTAGCTGAAGTCTTATTACCACTCATTCTTTTCCTTTTTATGACACATTGAACCACAACTAGGTTGTGTTTCTTTTTTTTCCCCTCTCCCTCCTTTTGAAACACTAGAAAGTAGTCGCATAATTACAGCTTGGGGACATAACACTTTCATCCTGATATGCTCCAAAGGTAGCCACAAAGCAAACTACTCCATGCTGTGTGCACCACCAGAACTCAGTGGCTTTAAACAACAGTCAGCTTTATTAAAAACTCCTCTGTTCCCAGAGTGGACAAACAAAAGAATTACTCAGATGTGAAAAGAAGGGGAATCAGTGTTCAGCAAGGTTATTTATTGTTAACCCCTTCTGGAGTCTTAGGCATCTATTTAAAAGGGATGGGCTGAAATGCTGCTGATACAAAAAAGAAATAGGAAACCCTTTCTTTTTTTATTCTTCTTTCTTTTCCCTCCTTTTGTTTTTTGTTTTTTTTTTCTTTGCCTAGCCCAGCATTTACCTTTTTTGTAGTTCAGAGGTAATAGTTTCTCTTCCCCTAGTAAGGAGGTGGTAAATAGAGATTCAGACATACTTGAAAGATGTGAAAATCTCCCTTTGCCTTTGAGCTTACTTTAGCTGAATGTTGTCAGTTGCTCTGAAATGTTTGAGCAAAATCCTGGTTCGGTCAGGTCTCCTCCTCGCATGCCACTTTGTGGTTACAACTGACAGAGGATGCAAGGAGATGAATTATTCTTGTATTCCATGCAAATCCCTCCCAGGGGGATTGCATTACCCTGATCACCCTCCTAATTTGGGGAATGAAATTCTTCCAGGCTCACTGTCTGATGCCTGTCCAACACGTGAGCCCTGGAGGAGGACATTGTGGCCGTGCCCCGTGGCTTTGTGGGCCCCTCTGCCTTTGTCTCGCTCAGAGTCGAGCAGCATAAGTTCTTTGCTTGCTTTGCTTTTCAGTCCTTAAGTTTTGCTTTTGACTTCTGGGAACCGAACCAAACCTCAAAGAAAAACTCAGTTAAAACCACCTGGTTTCACCTGCTTTCATAACAAAACCAGAAGGTGGTCAGAGTTTGCTTTGGAAAGGTTCAGAGGCCTTTCAAGGAGCTTTCGCAGAATTTTGGGTTCTTGTGAGCACAGCGGGCACCAGCCATATCTGGTGGTGCCCATTTGTTCCTACCCAGCAGGTGGGAGGTTGTGTTGGGAGACTAAGGCATGGCCCCTGTGTGGCCTTGGAGAAATTCCTTCCTGTGTCCATTGTATGAAATGCATTCTGCTCTTACCTTGAAAAATGTTTGGTCTGCATTTCCAAAAATAATTAAAAAGCAAAAATAAGCCTGGCAGTGACATCAATACCAGAAGGGCAGCAAGCATGACCTAAATTAAAACAGCAGTAAAAGAGGTCCCTGCCGTAAAAGCCGAGTAGCACTCACTTCATCAGTCTATGCGCATCACCATTCTTTCCATATTTCTCCTGTTTTTTGTTCCCCACAGTCCATTCATAATGGAAGTTTTTCTAGTTGCAACTAATCAGCATGGTTTCACATTTGTGCAGCCATGAGCCACTGGGACACTCAGCACATGCCCACCTTGAGCACATGCTCCAGCAAGATGCTGTATGTGCAGCACTGGTAGCTAACTCTTAGCCCCCAAGACTGGAATTGTCTCTTCCTTCTCTTTTTTTCCCCTTCTTTTTCTGAAAATGGCACAAGACCTGGTGATAGAACACGTATTTGCAAACTAGAAGGAAGGAGGTGTGTGTGCACAGATGCAGTAGCAACCCTTCTCTTGGTTGGGTGGGCAGGAAGGTGCAGTTAATACCGAAGTATTGACCTAGCCCTTTCAGCACTCAAGAGGTTGAAATACGCAGGGACTTGAAAGGCATTCACATCTCACATTAGAGATACATGTAGTCAGCAAGTTAGATCCGTCCCCAACTGAATTAAATAAATAGGGTGCTTTGAGCTTTGAGCACAGTACAGACAAACAGCTGATTCTCTCTGGTCTCTTGAAACAAGCAGAGTTACCTTTGGCTTGTGTGCTAGGTGCAGAGTACATTTCCCTGTTTCACGATTTATTCTTCCTGCCTGTCAGTGCAGCAGAGTACAAAAAGTTCTGCCATTCTATCTACACAAAGCATACAATAAAATACAGCTATTTTAAATCATTTTAAGGCAGAGCTGTGCAAGGAAGGAAAAGTTCTTACAGGGGGTGTTTGCACTCAGATGTTTTCAAGTAGTTGACGTGAAAGGGTTAAATTAGCCCGCCTGGAAAAAAAAGAACAGGACTCTAGGAGGTGGATATCAACTCAATGAGAGACAGAGTGGGACTTGAACTCATTAACACTTTATTTTAAGGGATTGCCTACAACATCAATTATTTAGGAAGCAAACAGGGTCTCCATTGCTGTGTCGCATTATTAATACTTGGTAATGTCAATAAAATCCTACTTTCCTATAAAGTCCCACCAACAAGACACTATTGACTCACATGGCTATTTTACATTTCAAAAGCTGCCGAACAAAAAAAGAAAAGGTAATTTGTATTTGTATAGGATTTGTTGTAAATATGATTTACGAACAACATTTTTCAATTGTTATCATACCCGTTTTGAATGACCAAGCCCCGTTCCCTGCGGGTTATTCATGTGCTGTGCCATAATGAGAAATTTGGCAGATCTCATCTCTTTAGTACATCCTTGTGCCCACCGTGAGCTGGGGATCATGTTCTGCCTTGTTTACAGCTGACAGTGTTATTATTCTCGTTAGGACTGTGCTTTCTTATCATATTGTTGTGTTGAGCGAGCCTTTTCCTCTCTGTTTGTGTTTCCTGGCAGGGCTTTTCTTCCCTTATTGACAGTTTGTAAAAATATGCATTAATTTGGAGTTTAAAGCATGTATCATGGTGTCTCTTTGCTGTGTTTGCTTGAAGTTGATTAATGATAGAACCTCACTTGGGGTCGTCCTCTGGAGAGTTGTCTCACAGGTTCTGCATGTTAACGAGCGACGCCGCACACACAGTGCAGTGATTAGCCCAACCTCCGCCGGCTCGGCGGGCCGACAGCCCGCTCCTTCGCTTTTCGGGTGCTTATTCCGCTTATTTATCCAAAGATTGTATTAATCAACTTAACATGTCAGCCGAGAGCGCTCTCTCTCGATGCCGGCACTGAGGGCCCATCGAGGTGCTCCTCCCGGAGCATTTCCCCCGGGAGGCCGAGCGGCGGAGCGCAGCCTTCACAGCCCGGCTCCACGTTCGGGCTCTGCTCCTCAGTGCCCTGCAGCTCCGAAGGCCCAAGCCGCCCCGTGTTCCTGCCCAGCCCCCGAGCTGTCAGAGCCATGTTGGAGCCAGCAGCTCGCTGAGTGACCGTGTTTTCGTTTTTCCAGGCACCCCGTGCATGTCAAAGAAGAACCGCTAGATCCAGATGAAAATGAAGGCCCGCTCTCCTTAGTGACAACAGCCAACCACAGTCCAGATTTCGATCACGACAGAGATTATGAAGACGAACCTGTAAATGAGGACATAGAATGAGTATGTCTGACATCATCATCCTGAGAATGAAGATGGGAAGAACACGTCAAACCTAGCTGTGAAATCTCTCCATTGTTGTACAGTCTGGAGGATTCTCAGTCCGCTTTGACAACTATGAAATATGTTAACTCTTAGTGCCATCAAGTATCCCATTTGGGAGTATTTTTGATTTTTCTACTTTTTGTTGAAAAAAGGAATTTGTACTCTGTGCATTGGATGGACTTGTTTGGTACTTGGGATTTTCCTCTCTTACAGTCAACGTCAGTGTTGTAAATTTGCTAAACTGATTCACTTACATTTAGCAGCCAACTGTGGACTGCAGGTCCTGCCAATTTTGGACACTTGAGGACATCAAACTGAGCATGTACACCAGAACTGCAGATCAAGTCTTTGCCCAGATTTTAAGGATTCCAATGGACAACATATTTGCACAGTACTGCATGTTGATTATCACTGCCTTTACTCCATTTTGTTGTTTTTCGGTTTGTTTTTTTTTTTGTTGTTGTTGTTCTTTTTTTTTTTTTTTTTTTTTGCTTCCATTTGGGATGGGGAAGGCCTGTGTGTGCACGTGTGTGGATATGTGTGTGTGCGTGTGAGCGTGTCTATCGGGGAGGGGTTAAAAGAAAAAATTATCCCAAACTTTTTAATGTATTGCTTTTATTCCCCCGCCCCACTTCTCCTCTACCATTTTAAGTTCTGACCTCAGGCCTCAACTGGGCCCAGGGCCTCTCGGAGGCTTCAACGTTTTCTGTACTTTGTGATGAATGTTAATAGGTGTTTTTATTATACGAAGCTGAATGTCATTGACTTGTTTGTAGTTTTTTCTGTCATTCATTCCAGTTTCCTTCAGATGCCACCATGTTTTGTTTAGCTGTGGAAAACATTCCATTTCGGTGTCTCTATTTTTGTTGTTGTTTTTTGAAAAGGTCCCAAATGCTGCACTATACATGTGGAAGGGTTGTCCAACGGAGAGAGAGAAACGAAGTACTGCAAGAATGAGAATGAATGACAGATGAACATAGAAACACTGTAGGAAGCAACATAGATTCATTCCGCAAAGCAGTATTTTTTGTTGTTGTCGTTTTGGGTTGGTTTTTATTTTGAGATTTCTTTTTTGGCAGCAATGGTGAATATTAGCAAATGCCACAAAATGGAACAGCACAAAGAAATGTATGCAGCACCAACAGAATTCACTTTTATTAGAGGATGGATAGTACAGT